AACAAAATTCAGATGTGGTCTGCTAAGAGAAAATATATTCTCACTTATTTTTTAGAAACAGATTCTTGTGTCCTATTGATACTGTTGTCCTTTAGTTTCTCTGGTCTATTAGTTGCACCAGAAGAGCAATATTTATGGTCTGGACAAAATACAAAGACTTGTTAGAGGGTAAGACCCCGAGGTGGTTATCACCGGTGGAGGCCAAGGCTCGAAAAAGACCCAACATGGAGGCCTATTGGCCGAAATATTGGGAAATAATTGAAAAAATTGGAGATAATTGGAGGTTGCAGAGCTTGGAGAAATTAAAGAATAAGGTGCGAGACTGGTTACATTACGCTCAAATTCAAGAGGTTTTTAAATTAGATAAAAAGGTTGGGTTCCAGGTGGAAAAATCGAAACTAGAGACGGAATTGTTAGAACCAAAAACTAAGACACTTTCGAGAATGTATAACTTGCTGCTTAAATGGAACACACAGGATGAGACAGTTAAATCTGCCATGATAAAATGGGCACAGGACATTGGGCATAACATCATGTTTGAGGACTGGGAAAGGTTATGGAACACCGGAATGAAATTCACGGCATGTAATGCCTTGAAGGAAAACATTATGAAAATGATATACCGGTGGTACATGACCCCAGTCAAGCTTGCTAAGATATATCACCTGTCTGACAATAAATGTTGGAAATGTAAGGAGGCTGAAGGGACATTCTTTCACCTCTGGTGGACTTGCCCAAAAGTGAAGGCCTTCTGGGAAGTGATTTACAATGAGTTAAAAAAGGTATTTAGGTATACCTTTCCCAAGAAACCAGAGGCCTTCCTTCTGGACATTGTAGACCAGAAAGTGTTAAAGAATGATAGAACTTTGTTTATGTATGCTACTACAGCAGCAAGAATTCTTATCGCAAAGTATTGGAAGACACAAGATTTACCCACACTGGAGGAGTGGCAGACGCAATTGATGGACTACATGGAACTGGCTGAAATGACTGGCAGAATCCGAGATTTGGGAGAGGAAACAATGGAAGAGGACTGGAAAAAATTTAAGAACTATTTGCAAAAACACTATAAGTTGTATGAATGTTAAGAATGTGCATGATTTGGAAATTTTAGCTTCAGCAACTCGATGTGGTGAATTGAAAATTAAGTTATAAGAAAGACGAGGTGGAAACATGAAATAACTATATTATGTTTATTTTAAGGTACAAACAATTGAGATACAGTATTTCGAATTTAGAAACATAATATTTGAAAGATACAGTAAGATATGAAATAAGGTAACAAATTGCTGATGTTTTTATTGCAAAGAACGCAGGGTTCGGAAGATGTGGGGAAGTCCAGTTGGAATGGTAAAAACATTTTGGAAAGTTGGTTTTTTATATATTTCTTTCTCTCTTGGTTCTTTTCTTTTTTCTTTATTCTGTATTTTTCTGACTGTTTGAAAGAAAATTTAATAAAATATTTAAAATATATATATATATATATTAGTTGCACCAGTGGGCAATATATCATTTTTAAATAATTGGTTGTTTGCCTGCCAAGCAATGGACTTGTTTTCACTCCAGCCAGCTCTCATTTCCATTAAAAAAAATAAATCCTAAGTATTCTATTCTTCTGACTGATTACATTTTCTGTGAATGCATGCAAAAAAAATTTTAAATGTTCACATTAAACTATAATGTGTGTATTTCTGGCTCTCTCTGTGTGTATGTGTGTGTATACACAAGTGAGTAAGGATTGGCTGTGGCTCCGTGTCACATGTAATACCATGAAGCAAAGCCCAGCCCAGCCCTGTTACCCAGAGACTTCTGGGTCTGAAAATGGTCCGCACATCCTTCTTCCCTGCTCGGGATGGAGAGGCACCATCACCTCAGGTACTAAAATATCTGTGGCCATCCCTTCCTTATACATTCAGATTCAACTATCTAAACTGAAATCAGCAGGACTATTCAAGAGTTCCTGAAATGGTATACTGCATATGCTTTACTGCATATATTCATTTTAACTTTCTGTAAACTGATTTGAGGGTGATTGGCTCCCCACCCCCAGCAATTAGTGTATAAATGTTATGAAATAAATAAGCACTACAGTGGTACCTCGGGTTACATATGCTTCAGGTTACAGATGCTTCAGGTTACAGACTCTGCTAACGCAGAAATATTGCTTTGGGTTAAGAACTTTGCTTCAGGATGAGAACAGAAATCGCGTGGTGGCAGCGGCGCGGCGGCAGCTAGAGGCCCCATTAGCTAAAGTGGTGCTTCAGGTTAAGAACAGTTTCAGGTTAAGAACGGACCTCCAGAACGAATTAAGTACATAACCAGAGGTACCATTGTACTGTATTTATTATTGCATTACTATTTGTTATTGCAGCTATTAAAGGGTGTGTACAGGTGATACCTGAGGAGTGTTGTGTGCATGTGGCAGCCATGAAAAAAGGTGTTTGTGGCATCTTTGCAGAGCATCCATGCCAGTTGTTTAGAGGGACAGGTAAAGGTCTAGCATTGAAAGTGTCACACAGTGGTTGGTAACACAGGAACCAAAGAAATGGCTTACTGTCTGTGTTATTAAAAGGTAAAGGTACCCCTGCCCGTACGGGCCAGTCTTGCCAGACTCTAGGGTTGTGCGCCCATCTCACTCAAGAGGCCGGGGGCCAGCGCTGTCCGGAGACACTTCCGGGTCACGTGGCCAGCGTGACATCGCTACTCTGGCGAGCCAGAGCCGCACACGGAAACGCCGTTTACCTTCCCGCTTGTAAGCGGTCCCTATTTATCTACTTGCACTTTGAAGTGCTTTCGAACTGCTAGGTTGGCAGGCGCTGGGACCCAATGACGGGAGCGCACCCCGCCGCAGGGATTCGAACCGCCGACCTTTCGATCGGCAAGCCCTAGGCGCTGAGGCTTTAACCCACAGCGCCACCTGCGTCCCAGTCTGTGTTATTACCAGACACTAGCTTAAGTCAGATCCTATAACCAAATTCCTACCTCACTAGTACAGTGGTTCCTCAGGTTAAGAACTTAATTCGTTCCGGAGGTCCGTTCTTAACCTGAAACTGTTCTTAACCTGAGGTACCACTTTAGCTAATGGGGCGTCCTGCCACTGATTTCTGTTCTCATCTGGAAGCAAAGTTCTTAACCCAAGGTACTATTTCTGGGTTAGCGGAGTCTGTAACCCGAAGCGTCTGTAACCTGGAGCATCTGTAACCTGAGGTACCACTGTACTGAAAATGCACTGCGCATGCTAAGGAGTAATATGAGCATTAGTCCTAGGGGGCAATTCAAGAATGAGTTATTAACAGTGAATGGCCTTTTAGGCTTCCTCCATGTGAATAGGAGTTCACTTTTTTAATAATAAGAATTATATGTCACGGGGGGAGGGGAGCATCAGGATTTTAGAGATACTTAGGTGGGGCATGGCCACAAAAAGGTTGGGAACCACTCCTCTAGGGCCTGAGCTTCTACCTTGTAAAAAAATGGGTTCCTGACCTGACCTATGATGAACTGCATATCAAATGAAGCTCTGCTTTCTAATCCTGGACAGGTTTGAATGTTATTTTAAGCATGGCGTCTTATTCACATTTGCTTCTCAGAGAACACCACTGAAACCCAGAAGGCTCACTTCTGTGTAAAACTTGGATAAAACAGGGTTCTGGGCTCAAGTATTATGGGATATTGTTACTTTACCTACTGGTGAACTTTGTTTACTTAAATGTGGATATATGTTCAATAAACTTTTAATCAGGATCATTATTTTTTTATTATGTATCATAATGATTGTGCTACTGTATTTAGACTGTGTGGGTTTTTTACATCAACACCAGGAGTGGCTGGTGTGGTAAGGGAGCACTGTATCCCCACGTCCTGACAGTGGCACTACTGTTGCTTACCGCAATGAGGGCAAAGTTGGGGCTACACAGAAGTACCAGCAGAGACAGCCTGGTCTTTCCACACAGCACCACCTCGCCACAGCCCTTCCTCTGTGCTGTCTCAGTAACCGCTATTGGGAGGGTGGCAACACAGCATTGTCCCATTGTGCAACTGCATGAAAAACCGCTTTGGGCATAGATGTATTTGTAAACAATGTGATAAATAGACTAACTGTGCTTCCAGATTGTTGCTATTCTCAGGTGGGATTCAATCACATAGCGGTAAATTTAAGTTGTGTGATTATAATTGATTGGGACATCATCCACAACAAGCCCACTTCCCCCCAAATATCAGACTTTTTGCAACTGGAAACATGCCAGGAAAATGCACTTAGCTTTGACAAACAAAGCAGAATGAATGCTTGTTAAACAGCCAATACCCTTTCATCTCACTGCAAACAAATTAAAGAGGGATACACAATAAACAGGTTGTCAGGAAGCACCCTATGACTAAATATTAGTCTGTGCATATAATATTGGCACCCCACCCCCTTGTGCTTGAGGTAAAAAATGAAGGCGTTCCTTTTATCCACTTACACAGGAGTAAACCTCAAAGCCAAGGGAACTTTTCTACAGATCAGTTACATTCCATGTGAGACATTATAGTATCAGGTTGGGTGAGAAGTGGGGGTGTGTGTGTGGTAAAACTTACATTCTTTAATTAGTGTATGTGTGTGGGGGGGGTGCATAGGCGTCACTTGAGTAAGAGACAATGCACATACTTTTGTAACCTAAGAAAATCTTTTAACAAAAAATATTTTGAAAGAAAGCAAGCAAGCAAGAAAAAGAAAGCCAAAGGAACTTTCTTCCAAGAAAATATCAGCAGGTTAGAGGAGATCCATCTTGTGGCACACAGATGACACGTGCTGCCCTGGCCTCTTCATCCAGCCCGCGGGGGATCCCCTTTTTGTGTGGAAGGGGGAGTGACAATGTGCCCCCTCCTCTTTCAGGTTTCACCCGTGGCTGGGCAGCCCCCAGCAGCCCCAACCAACTAATCAATGTGGCAGCTGGGCAGCTCCTAGTCCTCCCGCCCCCCTCCGGACCCCAGTCCCTTGGCTCCTCCCACTTCATTCATCTCATCTGCGGTTGCCTGTTGGCGCCTGTTTGGGTTTCCTCGCCTGCAGCCAATAGCGGTGAACGTTGCTCAGTAGCCAGAGCCACAGCCGCCTGCTTCTGTTGGGGCGAAGGGAGGATTCTGGCGTCTCCTTCCTCAGCAGTCGGGCGGGAGTAGCCAACTCCGGAGGTGGGGGAAAGCATCCCTCACCCAAGCAGGGCAGCCCGCTGAAGAGAGGCCGGCTGTGGCGCCCCGGGGTCCGTGCTCGCTGGCCTGGAGTTACGCGAAGGCGGGAGAGAGCGGTTACCTCAGGGCTTGTGGCTCTGCAAGAAGCAGGTATTGAGGAGGAGGCGGCGCGCGCGGTGGGGTCGGGGCTGAGGCGGCCGCCCTGGGCGCGCGCTGACGTGGGCTCGGCGGGAGTGGAGTCCGCGCGCCCAGGAGCGGGAAGGACAGAGGGGCAGGAGTGGGCTGCTCGCCGTCGTCGTCCAAGGTTTGGGCTGGGCTGGCTGCTGGGGAAACGGCCCTCGTGCAGGCAGGTCGTTGTTCTCCTCCCTCTCCACCCCGTAACGTGTGAAGGGAGAGCTCTCCTGCAGAAACTTGAAGGGGGTTCGTGTTCCTCCGCTTCTTCCCGGTGGGCTCTTCCTGCAGGATAAGAGGCACCTGGGTTCTTTCTCTTGTCTGAGGATGTCGCGCTGCTGCAACGTGTGTTTCTGAGGGCTTCTCCGTTGCGCGGGCATTGCTGCAGGCATCCCTCGCCGGAGTTCAGAGCACGGGCGTCCTAATTGAAATTATAATTTGGAAAAACAAATAAATAAATTTAAAAATAAAACAAGAGCACGGCGTCCTCGCTCTTTGAAGCTGCCCAAACTGCCCAAACACCCTTCCCTTGAAACAACGAAGAGGTGGGATGGGAGGAGGAGGAGGAGGGGTGGTGGTGCTGGAAAATGCTTCACGCGTTATTGTGGTCTGGCATGTATGTGGTCTATGAAAACTTATGCCCAGCGATAGGCATAGTCTTCTACTGCATATCCGTTTCTGAAGTTCAGGGATAAGTGCTCTTCCTTCTGCAGTCAAAACAGCAGCCCCTGCACGTAAGAGGGAAGCACCAGCAAACCTGGGAGAATTGCAAAGTTGGCAGAAATGTTTTGGGGTGGGGGAAAACTTTAAGGTGAGAACCCCGGGAACAACTTATCATTATGAAACTCTTTCCATGAGACATCCCAAAGCCATTTACGATTCAATGAGGATTGAATATGCTTGGTTGGATCCTACCTGCTATACCTATAAAGCGCATTTTCCTCTCAAGGAATTCTGGGCGCTGTAGTTTACCGCTTGGCAAATTTTCCCAGTATCCCTTAAATTACAGTGCGCAGAATTCTTTGCAGAAAAATGTGTTTTCATTGTGTGGTTTGCACACCATTAAAGGGTTAGGAAGAAAGGTGTGTGTGTTCCCTGTGTCATGAAAATGGGTTCAGTTCCTTTTTCTTTTTCTTCTTCTTCTTTTTTTTTGGCATTTATTTCCAGGGAGTTGGTGAGACATTTCTGAGGATGTTCCTGCTTGGCTCAAAGCTCCTGTTGCTGGCTGTCCTTTTTGGGGTGGCCCACGCAGCTCCTGCTTCAGATGGAGATGAGCAGCCTGAAGAAGTACTACTAAACTTTCCCAAGGATGAAGCTAGTCTGAATGAAATGTTCCGAGAAGTAGAAGAGCTGATGGAGGACACACAGTACAAGTTGAGGAATGCAGTCCAAGAGGTGAGACTTGCTGTCCAGATCGATTGGTACAGCTGTGGATGAGAAATGGGCAGAAGTTTAAACTAAATACTAAGCAGAGTGACTTCTTCTTTTTTTTTAACATACAAAACAAAACTAGTTTGTTTGAAATATTTGCTTGAAAACCCACAGTTGAGTTGGTCAGGACAATGAGAGTGTGGCAAAACATGGGAGAAACTGTGTTCAGAGTTCCCTAAATTGTGGATTTTTGCTTGTTTGTCGGGAATTGGACCAATCTGTTCAGGCTATGCATTTAGATAATACGGGTTCTCTTCCTGAGCTACTTGTCTGGATAATGAGCATGCAAACCATTGGGGATATGGAAACAGGCTTAGAGCTGTGTCCACCTTTCAGTATTGCTGCATCAACAGTTCACTTGCATCCTCTCTGTTCTAGGCATCTGTGAGTAATGGAGGAGTTCTTGCTGAAGGACATTAAAAATATCTGCAGGCAGCATAGCTTCAAAGAATCTTACAGTAACTGGGTCTCCTGGTGTAACACTTTTCAACAGAAGTAGTAGATGCCAGAGCCAAAAGAGAGGGTGGGGGAAAGAATGTGAGAGAACAGGGCACTTAATCACGATTCTAAAATGCACGCACCATGAGAACTGCAGATACCATACAAATAAGTTATTCATTGTTCACATGAATCCAGGTGCAGAGCTTGGAAGAAGCAGGCTTTAGGCATCCATTCCTGTCATCTACAAATCTCCACTTTCACTTTGCACAAAGGAGAGTACATTAGCTGCTGTTCCCGTTCCTCTTTTCTTTCTCTGAAGTTGCATATGTTTCTTCTGGCCAATAATGCTAGGGTGGGGGTGTAGTTTGACCTTGTTCCCTAGCCTCATTAAACAGTTAGTTGTCTGGGGTGCTTTCACACTACTACTACACAGCCTGATATGTGGCTCCTGCCCCTGCTAATTTCATGATGGATAAAATCAGCAAATGTGGATGACTGATCTGCTTTTGAAGTGATGCTGGCAGGCTTATTACACACCCCAGTTACATTTCACATGCATTTTTACATTTACCTTCCAGTTCTGGATACTTCTAAGTATGCTTTCTTCTGCAGATATATATATATATATAATATGGTTTAGTAATCTTCCAGACCCAGAGGCATCTTCCACCATCGTCATTACATACTGTTACAGCAGGAAATGGCCATAGCTTTTCCTGAGTGGCATAAAAGACACAAAGGAACAATTGAATGTGATATGGAAGATCCATATGAACAGGTTACATTGGCAATAGTAGTACTATATCCCATACTCATCACGTGGGCGGGGGAGAATTATCTTAATGCAAGGGAGGAAATTAGCTCAGTGCTTTTTTAAACTGATAGTTATGTCCTACAGGGCATGTTTTCCCTACAAGAAACAAAGATTTTTGGTAGGAAAGAGATAGCTACAGTCCTGAGTATAGTTACTAGTGAGTAAGCCTTGTTGAGCATAGGACCCCCCCCCTGTATGTGTGCCTTCCAGTAGACCCTTAAAGTTGCTTATGTGTTTACAAGTATTTTAAATGCTTGCCTAAGTTAGTATAAATAACCCAGCTAGCTCATCTGAGCCTCGTTTAGATTCAGGGTGGAGATATTAGTTTGTATGTTTAGATTACATTTCTTAAAAAATAAACAATTGGTTGAGTATTCTTTTAAGACTTTAGGAATAAATGGAGCTTAGCTGCAAACTCAAATGAACTTATACATGACATGAAGGGAAACATAGAAATGGCTGCTTGAAACCTATCTAGTCTTGAGTATGATATGACCCACCTCCATATTATTGCTCCAGAAACCTTACCTTTTTGCAGTGAGAGTCCTAACTTTACAACCCTGGAATTAAGTCCTGTTTTAATTAAACGGGGCTAGCTCCCAGGTAAGTGGGGCTAGGATTGTACCCTGATTACATTGAGACTGACTTCTGAGTAAATGTGAAGAGGATTGGGCTGAAAATAAAATAAAATCCGTCCCTGTAATGAGGCAGAGGAGCTTGCTTCCAGGATGAAAGAATGGGCTTGATTGGTGTTGGTGGCCATTTTATCTTGGGACAATATAAATGATTGAGTTATACAGCAAGGAAATGGTCAGTTCACAAATGGCATGGGATTAGTTTCACTTTTTACCAGTGATGTTTGCACTAGTTCAACTTCCTATGTGTGTTTATATTTATGCAACAATATTCACATGCAATTTATGGTGTAAGCTAAGGAACAGGAAAGCATACTTTTCCAGTGACAAAATGAGTACTAGTGCTGGTTGCATGTAGTAACCCTGCAACAGAAACACTTCTCTAAATGAAAGAAGGCATTCCTTGATTTTGTGTTTTCTGCATCTTCCCCCAACAAATGTATTAAATCTGTGCATTTGTTGTACTGGAAATTGACTGGAAAGGATGTTACTGAATACTGGCTTTATGTCCCTGCTAATTGTCCACTGTTTATGATTCCTGGTTTGGGAACCTTTCCCGATCCTGTACACTGTTGCACAGAAATAATTCTTCTGTTGAGAGATTATCATAATGTCTGTTTCTCCAGATTTAGCTTGCTATCCTCCCTTTATCCTGCTGCTTCACAGCATTTTTTATTTGCTACAAACTGCATGCCCACCCATCAGTTCAATTGTTTATAACTTGGCTTCTAACAATAAAAGCTTGTTCGGAGGAAACAAGTATCCAAAGTTGCATTTTGAAAATGTCAGTTTCTCAAGAGTTACAGTAAAAGCTTTTTAACAGGGTTGTGTATGCATGATGTATTTTTCTTCACCTTTAACACTGGCAACAATCCAAAGAAGTGAGGGTGGGTGCTGAGGAACATAATCTTAAAAGTAGCTTGTGTTTGAGGAGGGGACAGAAAAGAGGGTGAAAGTCTTACTGTCTGAACTTGAAGATTTTATTTTTTTGGCCAGCAGTTGTTGTTTTTAAGACATGTTTGCAACTTCTTTGTGAAAAAGCTAATGGTCTCTGTCTTGTGGGGCTCCAGTAGTTAAATTTCAGTGGTTTTGATGGAGCAGCAGGAGGGAGAGAACAAGGTTTCTGTTTGTATAGTTGAGAGTAATCCAGCTGTTTCAAATTTGTTTTCCTGAGAGACTGAAATGAATATGGTTGCACTTTTCTTCATCCTGAATTTTAATGGCTTACTCTTGCATGGTTGCATTTCCTCCTCTGAAAACTCTAGATTGGAAGATGATCACCACACCCCCAATTTCCCTTCTTTCTTTCTTTCTTTCTTTCTTTCTTTCTTTCTTTCTTTCTTTCTTATACATCCATTGCTCATTTGAGCCCAGGTTCAGCCTAGAATCTGTGTCAAATTCAGGCTTGGGATATGTGAAATGATTAATGCTTTTTTGACTCTATTCAGGTTCCTTCTCTCTCTGGGTAGATGGGAACAGCTCATAGTTCTGCATCTGGGATTAGGCAAAAATCTTCCTTATCAAAAGAAATTATGTCCAGGCAAGGTTGACCCTTGGCACTTAATTTTGTATATCAAGCACTGAGTATGTTGGCAGAAAAAAATGTTTTGTAAAGGTCATGGTACCTATAAACTGCCTCTACCTTCTGCTTCTAGCTCTCTTAAAACATTTTTCACTGACACTGGTTAGATATCAGTGTTGCCTTGTTTTCTGTTATTGGCACCCTCCAGCACTTTGAACTAAATGACAATGTAATCAGTGGGCATGCCTTCCAGAAATGTGTTGACAATTGAAGCACTGGTTACAGCTTTTCCCTTTGCTGCAGGAATCTGGGAAATCATTGTCCTCCTCCTACTCTTTCATGTTTCATAGGATAAGGGAGAACAATAATGGTCCTTCTCTAAGTAAAAACTTTTATCTCCTTCCTAACACATACATTTAAGAGGGCTCTTGTTAACATGGGAATGATTAAATTATATTGATATAAATTTAAATTTAAATCTGACTACTATATTTGGTTTTAAAGTTCTGCTTTTGTAACACTTCTGGGTCCATTCTTGAAAAAACTATAGGTTTCTATGCTTCTTAACTTCCTGTTGACATAGTCTGTCTCTCTCTCTGTGTGTGTGTGTGTGTATATATGTATATGAGAACCAGGAAAGGAAATGGAAGGAAATCAGGAGGTTAAAGAGAACTTCTGAAAAGATGTTTTTTTGTTTTAGTTCTTATATTCCATGTTGTATATTTTGTATTTCTCATTCTCTTTTTTCAATGGAAAACAATTGTTGAATTTGAAATTGTAAAACCAAGAAAAATGTACCGTATTTACACACACAAAAAGACAGTCTGATTAGACAGTTTCTAATTACATTCGGCCTTGGACTTAATCCCAATCTCAGTTTAATTGCTGAATTGCGGGTTCATGCAAGTTATAACCCCATACTTTAGTTACTGGATAGCTGTGTCAGTTTGCTTTGAAATGAGACTTCAGCTGTCCAAATAAAAGCCTTAAAATAGGTTTGCACTTTGTGAGTAAATAATGCCTTTCTTTAAAATGAGTAATGAAACAAACCCCTATTGAAAATAATTGCTCCACAATAAAATATAAAAATTTGTTCTTGTTGGGTGCCAATCCATTCATTATCAGTAAAATAAATCAATGACACTAACAAGGCTACATTAAAATATTAAGGCAGGCCATAAATAAAGTCAGCCCACAGGCCAAAAGCCTTGATAACAGAAAGTCAAAGAAAGACTAAGCAGACCTCTCCATAGAGGAAGCCCCGCTGCTTGGGTTCAGTTATTGAGTAGGCCCAAATTCTGCTGCCAAATTTATTTATATCCTATCCTATCCAGATGCTTACATGCCACAGAGGGCAACTGACAACAAAACCAGCCATAATACATAATATATATGTGCCTCATATACTGGAGGGGACTGAGAGAAGGACCACTCCGGAATGTAAAAAACTCCAGGCAGTTTCATATGAGAGAATATGGCATTTTAAAGTAATCTGATTCCAAGCTGTAGAGGGATTTGTAGGCGAGATGACCAACACTTTGAATTGTGCTCTTAAACACATTGGAAGTCAGTGAAGGCAGTTGTAACATGTCACATGCTTCCGATAGCTGAGGTTTCTGAACATTTTTCAAAGGAAGCCCCATATACTGCATTTTGTAGTAAAGATGATCTGACAAATCTAGGAACGGGCATAATTGGCGCACCAGTTTCAATTTATGCAGAAGAACTCCTGGCTACCACCAGGACCTGCATATCCAGGCTTAGAGATGGATTCAGGAGGACACCCAGAATCTGTTTCTGAGTCTTCAAGGGAAGTGCAATCCCATGCAATACAGTCTGAGCCTTTGTTTCCTGATCTTCTGTTCTACTGACCAATAATGCTTCTGTTTTGTCTGGGTTAAAGCAATAGTTTGTCCATCCATATCTGAATCGTTATTAAATCCATACACCTACAGATCTTCAGTAGCGCCTG